TTTTTTATCAATTTTCAGAACTATCACGATAAAGAAATTGCATGATGGAATCATAATTATTATCAGCCAGAGATACGATACACTCTGGCCTAAGAGTTTTTCTCGCAAAATGTTTATGATTTTACTAGAATTAACGATGACACTTCCACTTCGCTACTCCACCACCTTCCTTCTTTATTGAATCTCGCAAGAGAGTGCATTCTTTCGTTATATACATTTATGCGCTATTTAAAAGAACCGCATAATCATTTACAAGGGCTAAAGTACCAATATTTTTAACGTTATTTGCAGCGTATAAAATAACTGAGTATAAAAATTGAAAATTGAACGATAAACTTACTTCAATTTAACTTAATTTTGAATCTTCAGTGAAATCGTAAATTTGAGCTATTTTCAAGTAAATTTTGCCCTATTGATCATAAATATATTTTTAGCATTAACTATTTCAACTATGAGAAATTAATTACCAATTACCAGGGAAATCGTAAACTTCAGATATACTTAAATAAATTTTGTCTTATTAATCCTAAACGTATTTTAGCATAAATTGTTTGAACTATAAGAAATTAATTACTAATTACTTTAAATTAGAATATGAAACTGTTACAACAGCACGATAATTATTATAACATAAATATTAAAAGAAATACACAAATGTTCGCTACTGTAATCCACAAATTATACATTAACTATTGTGATAATATAAATATGAGTGAATGTATTTTTTGATAAAAAATACAGCGACACCTAGAACAACCTTTCAATCACGAAATAATTACAGCTCTGAAATTCACGATGACACGTTAATCTCGTTACCTGAACATCTTTCCTTTCCATTAGACGTAGCAGCAAAGTGTGTCTTTTCATTTTATAAATTTGTAATACTAGTGTATTATCAATGGTACAACATTTATAATTAAAACTTCTCGCATCACTGTGACAGTACGAAGCAATTATTTACAATAAAAAAATCTAACATACAAAGTGAACCGCGTAAAACGAGCCACCTAATTATTTTTTTTAGTTATAGTCGTGCGAGAACATTTTTATACGTAATTTAAATGGTTTCAAAGGTTAAATAAAATGGAAGAATTTTTTTCATAAAAGAAATGTCAATACAAAAAAAATGAAAGGAAATTTCACTGATAATTTAAATGATCTTGAAAAAATTTTTCTGATTCTGAAACCATTTAAATTAAGTATAAAAATTTTCTCGTACCACCATAATTATACTAAGTGCAATTTTTCACCCATTTTTCCATTTCTTTTGTTATTGTTAAAGTAATCGACATAAATATTCTGCCTCTGTTTTATGTAAACTGCACTGTTTATGGTGCAATCGTACAACTGTTTAGAAAGTATAATACTATTCGACATAAATGGTTTAGTAATGCACAGAAAGATTACAATTTTATGGAAATTAACAACGACAGGCACACGCGCTCTCTCGCCATCTTTCCTCTGCATTGAACGTCGTAGAAAACTGGCATAACATAACTGGATAATAGACACCTCGTAATACAATATCGCTGTTTCACATTTATTGACAATCATCGTGCGATAAGTGCGATTTCAAAAACACATTTCATTGTTCCCTGTCCATTATTACCCATGTGTGAGAGACCGCTGTATTGTCGAGTGCAATAAAAACAACCCTTATTAAAACGCGAAGATGAATACTCTTGGGCATAACATGAGCAAGTATGAAAAATAATACAAGAGAAGAAGAGAATAGAAATTGTGAAATTTTGCAATAACTTTTTCTCACAGAATTTTTACAACACTTGGAGAATTGAGAAAGTATGTAAAATATGATACTGAGAAATAATATAAGAGAAGAAGAAGAAAAATAGAAATTGTAAAATTTCTGTGCTAAATAATGCAGTAAAATTTTGCAATAACTTTCTCTCGCAGAATTTTTGCAACACTTGGAGAGTTGGAAAAGTATGTAAAATATGATACTACTTAAAAAAAAAATCACAATTATTTATATTTGTGATTTGTTGAGAAATTTACCGCAAAAGTATACTAATTTCAAGTATAATGAAAAGTTGACCTGTAAAGAAATTGTGGTATTTCAAATATTTATAAATGATGCTGAAACTAGTTTCATTTCTTCGGTTTTATAGGAAAGTGTAATAGAAATATGATATAAGTTACATATCATTAAAAATAAGTATCACATGATACCTACCGATATTGATTTTCGAGAATGGAAATGTTTACTAATATGTTATTTAATACAATTGTATCATCGTTATCTACATTATAGTTGGAAATTCCTTTTTCGCTGATCTCTAAAATATTGTTGCATCGGACGATTTTATCGAGCACAATGAATTTAATACCTCCAATAGATTGAATGTAATATACCATTGCATTATAATACACATCTAACCAAAGAAAATACGGTTTTCGTACGCGTCATAAATCATTAACCGCTAAATTAGGATCTACGGTCCGCAAAACCGTAAACCACTTATATGTATATTTTCAAGCATAAATTCCAAATTCAGGATTTAAATAGTCACACTCGTTCCAGATACCGAAATCTTGTAACACTGAATTAAAGGATTCCCAAACCGTAACGTTTCGTGTACCAAAAAGGAAAATTTTCAGATATGAAACGTGGAAATGATTAGTTTGAGCAATTATCGGTATAAAATAATTTAAAAAATACTAATAATAATTTTGATTTTTTTTTAACCCTTTGCAATCGAGTTAGATTAAGTAATTGTCGCTTGGTAAATAATTAATCAAGACAGAGAGAAGATCTACGGGCCTCCATAAAGTTCACCATAGTGAAACAGAGAATACATTGAATATTTAAATAAAATACTATAATTTATTTCTACGTTAGTTTTGAAAATTTTCAAGGGAAACTCGATTTACAACCTTTCTTTAAAGGTTAATTCTTTTTTCTCCTTAAAAATAGTAATTTTTATTTTTCTAATTCTTTCTTCTTATAGATTGTGCTAGGATCACTCTAATGAGACTTGCAACGTTCTGACGTTGCTTTTTCACTTTCTGAAAATTTGTAAATTACAACATTGTGTCACGAAACCCTTCAATTTTCGAAACTAATTTTTCTCCACTCAGGAAAAAAGATCTGTGAAAATGTCGAAGATCTGAACCTAAAACAACGTAGCTGATGGTGCAGCTTATCAGTTTAACGGAAGATCGCGAAGTTAATGGACTGCACTCGAAGTCTCACTTCGTTTACCGCGATATTTACCACTCAAATCGAACGAGGTTCTCGTTAACCGTGGAAAGAATCGTTTCGTCCACGCGATGGACTCCGTGAAAAAATGACCATTCCATCGAAGTGTCCGGAATCTTGAAATTGTGTTAACATCCCTCGATACTGCGCCACCTTGAGACAACTCTCGAACTCGAGTGTTCGCCATAATTGAAGCCTCGAAATAACAAAGCCAGTAAGTGGCCCCGGAGCTTCTGGCTTTTCGAACAAAGCCGCGTAAGTTGAAAGTTACACGCTTCGCTGTATTTTCGCAAAAATATTACGATTTCGTGGCTGCTTTGGAACTTCGAGAGAGTCAAGTGTTCAGAATGAATCTACACTTCGTTCACTTCTAGGCGAATATTTTTAATCTAATAATTTCTAATAATTTCATTTAAAACTAATATTTGATTTTAGTATTCGTTTGGTAATTTTGACGAGTGATTCCTTATTTCTTTCATTTTGATATCAATTTCAATTTGGTAACACTTTTCTGTCAGTTAGTTCTTTTCTTCGTTTCTTTAATCTTTCTGCACTGTTAGATAATTTAAGCGAATAAAAAGTCACAGGCATTTTGGACGGTAAATTTGAAAGAAATCTGAGCGTCAAAGTGTTAATCTGTATTTAACCATAGTGCTTTAATATTCAATTTTAGTAATAATTTGGTAATTATAAGCTGTTTCTAATTTTGACAAATTAAATATCAGTTTAAATTCAGTAATAATTTTCTGTCAGTTGTTCAGCCTTCGTTCTTTTCTTTAAGTATTTTTCCACTGTCAGATAATTTACTTTTACAGTTTAAGAAACTGCAAATAATTTGCATTCGAACGATTGCAAAAGAGAATTTGCAAAACGAAACATAAATGGACAATAAATAATCAACTTTATCCAATCAAGCATCTTTTGTCGTTCTCAAGGCTTGAAAAATGCTTGAATCGAGAAATTATTACGTAGCAAACATGACTTCTCAACTTAATAAAGAACTCTGCAATTAACCAATTGCACGCTAAATTGACTGGAATGTGCTTTAACATAGTAACGTTCTTAAATCTTCTTCACGAGGAAATCATTTTCGACCTACTAAAATCTCTTTCACAAAACCTTACATACTACTCTAAATGCAGTACATAAACAGAACAAAAAAGTGTTTCAATTATTTAAACAAATTTCTAATTGTATACAAACATCCTCTATCATTCGGTAATAATTTTGTTAATTTCTAATTCTTACTAATATATCGAACAGTAAATTAATTTTAACACGAAGAATAGAACCGAAACAACTAATTGAATAAAAATAACGGAGAGCGTGAAATGACGGACCTGTTGACTTAAAAATGCATACGTTATTATTTCAAACTCATTTCGAGAACCTTCTCGTTTCCCTTTATTATTCAACGTTCACTTGTGCAACAAAGCTACTCTTCCCGGTGGAAACAATTCGAAACAAGTAGCGAATCAAGCCAATTCCCGTTGCTTCAACAAGTATTACAATA